TCCATTTGTGTACGCTATTCCCAGAAGAAAATTTTGTGACCGTTTTCTTCCGTGAATGCGGGGAAATTTGCTCTTCTGCCTTCCTCCAATATAGCATAGTGTTTCAGACAATCATAGGGAACAAGGCGGCAGATATTGACGCAGGAAATGACTGGACGACCATTGATATTTCCGTACCGACACTGATTGAGCCGATGTGTGACGGCTGGGATGCAGACTGTGACAAGTGTCTCTTGATTGGAATCTACAAGCATGGTAGGTAACCGCCAGCAAGTATAGTCATGTGATTTCTGCAACGATAGGACGTGTGAGGCGGCATTAGTTGGATTGCCAAACGGTCCTATCTGCCACTTATTTGGACTCAGAATGGCGTCGTCAGTAGAGAGGCTGCCCTGGCAGCGCTCCAGTCCACGCCCCACATCCTATCGTTTATAGGGATCACGACTCTGCCTTCAAATGCCTCTAGTGCACAACTTGTTTTGTAGGTCTCGACAACGTGGATGCTCTAAGAGCTGACGAAAAGTTGTGCTTTGCTACCAAAACTGCTCTGCCAGAGGCGTTCCCTGCAGCCGCTGAGATATCAACGAGGTTCAGGAGGCTCATTGCTGTCAGCCAGCGAAACATCACCGATCCCGTTTATGAGAAATTGAGGTTTGTGTTCGTTGTTGCGTAAGAATTTCCGGAATGTGGGCGGTTGTGTTAGTGTTGTGGAACGTATTGAAAACGAACTCAGAGAGAAGAAGTGTAGGTGGAGCCGACGAGAAGAACAAGAGTACATGCGGGTGTTACGGTCATTTGGTATGAAAGACAAGAGAAATGATCCGACAATGATCGACTGGGATGCGTTCCGAGCGTTTTCACCGCTGCTGGAGAAAAAGAGTGACGAAGAGATGCAAGAGCATTTGTATTGTATTCTTGCGATGTGCACTAAGGTACGTTTAACGTTTGATTTTTTTCTTGGAAAATATGGCTCCTGTTGAAAAGAGGTTCTTCATCATTGTGTCTTTGTTCTACTGAATAGTATTTCTGAACTAGTAAAAACTTCAGTGAAGTAACTATTCACATTGTGTATGCTGTAGGACCACTGGCGGACGGAGACACAACAAGGGCACGTCCTATAACTGGGGAAAAATTTTGCAAAATACAACCCCTCCCAAAATCTCTTCTGATACACCCCCTTCTTCCCCTTCCTACCTACTACCTTCCTAAATTTCTCCAGCTTCCTATCACTTTTCGCACTTTTCTTCCTCCCCTTGTCTCCAGAAAAAAAAACTACCGCCGTTTAGCGAAGGGGAGAGGTATTGCCCATCTTGAAATGAGAGAAAACTTTGAGAAGTCAACAGAGGAAATTATTTTCGCGAGCAATACGACTCCCCCCCCCTCCCGCTCCCTTAGCGACCAAATACTCCCCTACCCGCTGGGGATCCAAATCGTACGACATTCACTGGGCACAAGTAGGTCTTCTTGTGTGCCTTCGCCTTCCAATTTTCAGAGCGGGTGTCGAGAAAGTTCATGAAACCAGATATCTCTTAGATTTGGAGTATCTGTAGAAAACCGCTGGTGCATAGATTTCTATTTTGCAATATTCTGTATCTCACAGCAGAGTTGCCTACTTTCTGTTATGGGTAATGGTGTGATGCTTGGCTGCATGAGCTCGGCATTCCTAATTAGGTCTCATATTTCCTTCCACATTGTTCAATGTTGTCAACATTGTCGCATCATTCATTTTTCATTCGAAAGCCGTTTTTATAGGCGCAAGGAGGCGAACTGTCGGCTCTCGATACGAAGCGGGCCCTCTCAGTTGATGCGATGACTTCCCGAAAGGCCCAGAAGTTGATGAATCGGTTGCATCTGACGAGAAAGGTTAGTAGACGTGATCAGAACAATGCCTATTGCCTATTCGCTGCGGACGCGGGAAAGTTTCAGGGGGCCTTACTTTGGCGCGAAACCAGCCTGTTCTCTACCATCTAGCTTCCATTTGTGGTGGGGAAAGGCTGGTACCGCGCGAAACCCACCCTCTCTGAAGCGCCCTTGAGACCGCAGCGAAGAAGGTTGTACGCCTATGGACAAAGAACTTTTCGCTGCGACATGAGCGACCGCTCGTAATCAGAGAATTGATTCTTTTTAGGTTCACGCACTGGCTGCTGGTCTTGACAAAGTGACTCCGATGTTGAAGTTGTGTTCTGCCGAAGCAATGCCATCAGGATGGACTACTCAACATGACAAAGAGCTCATATCTGTTTGTGATCAGCATGGTATCGATAACATCTCGGCAAATATCCTGAAGAAACCGGCGTTCCAGAAGGTAAGCGGTTAATTTATTCGCTGGCCAAGTTTACGGCGAGGAATCCTCCACTTATTTCAGATTATTCGACCTACGGAGAAAACGTTGCTGCGAAGGGTAATCGAGGTGTGCACTACTGTAGAAACCGGTAAATGGAATGGAACAGCAAGCACTGATAGCGTGGATGATAGCGACGCAGAAGAGCGGGTTCGTGCACAACAACAGGTGGTTAAGTTATCCACAAGGTTATGAGCGTAGGGAAGCTGTCCGAATACAGTATCCCCGAAAGCTGCACGGAAATTGATGTGTCGGCTACGTAAATGCACACAATTGGGCATACCGTAAGCTGGTTTAGTTGCTCAGGTTCATCAAGCTGTGTTATGCGCGCTAGATCCGCTTTCACCTGCAGACAGGCGCTGTTTAGGTGACAACTAGGTGACAACCGAGTGATACAGTGTGTACTCGGCACTTGTGGGCACTCTATTTGACGCACAGTTTGGGTACTATCTCTCGCCTGCTGTCCTTAATTTATAATTCAAAAATTTTTCCCGACTGATTTTATTTTTTTGGTGCAAACTTGTCATTTTGCACGGATTTCTTTAGGTCCGACG